AAGTCTGTTTTTTTAGCGTTTTTGTTCAAATTGGTTCCTGGGTTTTTGTGTTTTTCAGGTTAACTAGTTTAGGGTCCAGTTATGAACCAGTTATCCCAAAATATGCCTTTCCAAAGTTTGTTTTTATCGAGTATTGAGAAAGTGATTCCAGTTATGAACCAGTTATGAAGTTTTCTCATCAGTCAGCCATTGTAGAAATCCAGGGACTTCAAAAAAGGGAAGAAAGAAAAAGGTCGAAGCTCATTCATTACCAGTCTGCACTGTCAATTGCTGTGTTCCCAAATTATGGAACAAATTATGCACGATCTCAAGAACTGGCCGATCATCCATTTGTTTCTTAACCTTAGAGCCACCAAAACCAAAAGAAACTTAGATATGTTTTCAGTGCCACAGAAAGCAAACATAAAAAGAACATAAAAAGAACATAAAAAGAACATAAAAAGAACATAAAAGAATAACAGTGAAATACCAGTAGTGAAATTGAGCCAATGGCATGACCAGGTACTAGTTCCCAAAAGTGAGCTTGGGAAACTTCTGTAACATCTTCACAAGAGGTAATCTAACCAGAAATTGAATTTTCAAACATGAAAATTACAAATAAAAAACACAAATTTGTTGGAAAAGAGAGAACCTGCTGCCAGCATTTGCTCAACGCTGTGGTGCCATTTGAGGCAATACACCCCCAGTAGCTTTGAAGAGAGACATGACAAGCATGAAGACTGCTACTGAAACTAATCCCAAACATAAAACTTCAGCATTGTTGACCCTGCAAAGAGGAATAATAGTAGAAATTATATTAGTTGAACATGGATGAGGTAAGTGAGGACAAGTCTTTCCCGAGATATGAAATAAGAAATTACCCAAGGGACAAAAACCACGAAGCTAAAATTAAACCTGCACCAAGAAACAACAAAAGAAGAGGAGCATTAGTAGGATGTGAATATCAGATTTCATCAAGAAGTAAGATTAGCGGATGCTATACCTGCGAATGGAATCTGCAAGAACAGGTAAGCAAACTAAGTGGTAATTCATATCTTCAGCCTTTCTATATACTGCAAGAAAATATTCATTCATAAAAAGAGTAGGAAAGACAATCATTTTCTAGTTTTCGAAGAGAAAAGAAAGAGAATAGTAGGAAAATCTAGTTAAGGCAAACATATGCTTACTAAAGCTCAAGGTTTTCAAAAAAAATGCAGGCTACAATGTATTATTCAACAACTTAAGTACTCCCTCATTCCTATTTATCTGTCTGCTTTGACTTTTGTGCACGTAACTTTAGATAATGCTTTTATACAACATATGAATGATAATTGAAAATTTTCATTATGAATTGAACCTCCTCAACAAGTGCTCTCTTAAAACATATTCATCTAGAACTATAGCATATGGCTTACCATGATTATTTTGAGCATAATTTCTGAAGAACCAAACGCCAATGAGATTCACCAACAAATTTGCTACTGCTGAAACAATCGGAAAAACCCATCAACATAAAAAAAGAAAAAAAAAAAAGACAAGAAACACTGTAAAATGTTAATGAATCTTGTTACGCAGATTCAAATATGTTTCATACTGATCAACAACAAAAAAGGCAAAGCAGCTAGCTTACTTGTGCTCAGATTCATCTTGGATAAATGGATAAAGTGCTTCCACAGCTAAGGAGAATGAGATGAAGAGAAGAAACAGCTGCCTAAACGTGCAGCAAAATCAAAGAACATCAAGATGTTAGCCATTTTATATCA